GACGGCGGCGCCGCCTCTGTGCCCCGGCAGCTCCCGCCGCCCCGGCCGGGCTTCGCGGCGGGACGGAGCGGGCAGCGGCAGCCCGTGGGGGGGAAAGGTGCGAGGGTACGGGGGGAGGGTAACCTCGGGGCGGGGTAGGGGGGGAAGCTGCATGCGACCTTGCGGGATGGTTGCAGCCCCGCTGGGGCAGGTCCGGGCTCAGAGGGCTCCGTGTAGCCCTACGGGGTTCGGGGCAGCGCTGTAGGGGTCGGTGCAAACCTGTGGAAGTAGGCGCCAGCTTATGGAAGTGGGCGCAACCATACTGCAACCCTGTTAGGACAGGTGCAACGCTATGGGGGGAGGTGTGGTGGTCTTACGGGGTGTGGGTGAAACCTTACAGGGGTGGTTTTAATCTTCTGGGGGCAACTGCAGCCCAACTGGGGTGGGTGCAATCTTACAGGTGGAGGTGCAAGTTTAGGGGTCAGCTGCAACCCTACAGGGCCAGGGGCCCCACCTGTCTTCATTTTCAGCCGAGGTGTAGGTGGGATGGGAGGCAAAGCTGGCTCTGCACGGCCCTGCAACGCCCCTGGGTTAGGGGCTGCCCCAAGGAACAGAGCACGGGTGGTGAGTAGCTTAATCTGAAGTGGAGCCTGACAGGGGGCTCAGCAGGGAGGCTCTCGCTGCGGGGACCCCACAGGGCTTGGCCTTGCCGGGGGGAGCAGGAGGGCAGAGGGAGGGCCGGGGGGCTGAAGGGCAGGCAGCCTGGCCGGCCGGAGCTGACTTGCGCCCGCGCTGGCAAGGGGATGCCCAGAGCTGTGGTGTGCACGCACACTTCCAGCTGCCAAGCTCCTGTTAGTGTCTTCACAAAGGGGCGAATTCAATCAGATTGGGGCTGCGGTATTTAGGGGCAGCATGAAGAAAAAACCAAGAAGAAATATCTGTGGGGAGAGAAGTGTGTCCAGCCTTGGGACAAGCATGAGAAATCCTAAGAGTTACAGAAAGTGCACTGATGCCTATTTCCTAAGTATCTGCCCAAACCAAACCGGTGCTCTCTTTCTGTTTCGCGTGCAAAAACCGTGCTTGTTTCTTTCTGTGACCCTCCCAACAGGAGCTGGTGACCTGACCGGGGATGCTATGGGCTATGTGACAGGCGTGCTGGCCGTACTGATACACGCTGCCTACCTGGTGCTCATTCAGAAGACCAGCGTAGATAGTGAATACGGACCCCTGACAGCTCAGTATGCCATCGCTGTTTCGGCCACCCCTTTTCTCATTATCTGCTCCTTTGCCAGCATGGATTCCATCAACGTCTGGTCCTTCCCGGGGTGGAAGGACCCTGCCATGGTATGCATCTTTATCGCCTGTGTTCTGATTAGCTGTGCCATGAACTTTACCACCCTTCACTGCACTTACATTAACTCAGCTGTGACCACCAGCTTTGTAGGGGTGGTGAAGAGCATAGCAACCATCACGGTGGGCATGGTGGCATTCAATGATGTGGAGCCCACAAAGTTATTTATAGCTGGTGTTGTGGTCAACACCTTGGGGTCTGTCATTTACTGCGTGGCCAAGTACATTGAGACCAGACGGCAGAGCAATTACGAGGACCTGGAGAAAGAAGCTAGAGAGGAGGAGGGGAAAAGGCAGGCTGGGGACCAAGCACTGTTTGCGATGGAGTCAATTTCCCAGGAGAAGGGGGCTGAGGAAGCAGCAGTGGAAGGATCAGCCATGGGAGACAGCCAGAGCAGAGAGGAAGAGAAGGTCAGCACTGAGAAACCTGCCAAGGGACCAACGGTCCAGGGAAAAGCCGCCGGCACACAAGAAGTGAACAGGAGCTCGCTGAAGGATGCCTATCTTGGAGTATGGAGGTTGGTGAGGGGTGCTAATTATATAAAGAAGGATTATTTGATAGAAAATGAAGAGCTACCAAACCCTTAAAAAGCAGGTTGGAAAACCTATTGCTTGAGGACAGACACCTGGTTCTCTGTACAGGGGGAAAGACAGAGCATACATTTCCACATCAAGGCTGACAAATCCAAATCATGTAGGATGACTTTACCTCATTGTCAAAAAGCAAAAGGTCTGAGTTTGCTCATGCTTTGGGCTTGCTTTCAGCTGCTTTCAGTACATCAGCATAGACCCACCACAGCTAAAGATGCCAAGTCCTCTGCTGTGGACACAGAGAGAGTCGGGTAATGGGGAGTCACGGGGTGCTTGCCCATCAGCCCGGGCTACGAGGGACTTTGGTACCATTGAGTTAGTTGGTAGTGCCAGTGACATGGCAGTGGCCTGTAGCTTAGCTTGTGTCTGGAGCCTGTGATTTTAACACCATTCGGAGGCTCTGTCGATGTGCTTCTGTATCTGTATCCGTCCAATTATAGGTACTCTATATAAATATATTTCTACAATATATAAGCTCCTGTTAACTGTACTTTTATGTGCTCCTCTCATGAATACAATTGCAACAGAGCTAGAGGTTGTGCCACTTCAATTATATTGGTGTAGAATAGCCCTCAACTGAAGAGTTGAAACTCTCCCTGATTCTGTGTCCCGGCTGGGCCTTGGACCTGGTTTACATTGGGTGGTTTGTGTCTTCAGTAGATATACTACTTCTGTCTTGCGGTGGTGTACATGAGAGCAGAACCAGATTTGAACTTTTGAGAAGCTTTGGTTAGCAAACGAAGGATGTTTTTCTATGAGCTTTAACTACATGTAGCATTGGGAATACTAGCTTGACCTAAATAAAAGAGTTTGGAAATGTTAGTATGTATTGATTTGATTTGGGAGGGCTATAAAAAAATTAGGGAGAAAGTGTGTGCCTTGTGCTATCCCCTCCTTGTACCCTAAAGTCAGGTGAATCAGAGCCTGGACTGGAACCTAGGTGTCCTCTCCATCTCCCTCTCTCAGAAGTACAGGCTGGTAGCAGAACTGGGGATGCCATCTCTCCGGGGTTCCCAGAGGTGCTTTTGCAGGACAGTTTTGCTATATCCTGGCCACGTGTTGGGACACAGCTTCGTGTGCATCAGCCCTCGCTGTCCCTGCGCTGTAGCGTCCAGTGGAAGAAAGCGCAGGCAGGGAGCCAGGGAGCTGCAGGGTGCTCCAGCAGATCCCACGGCTGAGCGCTCGCGGGCCGGGATGCACAGTGCGCTCAGCACCGAGATGGCTGTGGCTTTGGTGGAAGCTGCTTCCGTGTACCCAGACTGTCCCTGTGGGCTACAAGGGGCAGAGCTGTCTCTCCACCCTGGCTGCTGCAGCACTCCTGTGGGAAGGCGTGCCCTCCAGGGGGGCCTCCACTGAATATGCTAATATTTAGTACCCCATACATTTAATGGGAAAGACTGGGGAAACAAGTGTGTGAGTATTTCTTAGCCTGGGGATACTCTTTTGGTGGGTGGGGATCCTTAGGTCAAACCTTTGCTTAGAACCAGGCAGAGAGGAGTTTTGACTTTGAGCCTTCCCCATCCCAAAACAGTGCCCCAGCCACTGGGCCATCTTGACCACAGGCTGAAACAAGTTGTTATCATCTCCTGATAAAAGTGACCATGTTGTTTATTGTTGTTGTTGTTGTTGTTATTCTTATTATTAGTTATTAAGCCACTGAACTGGAAATCAATTATTCCCACAGCCCTAATTAAGCAGTGCCTAGCCCAATGTCTTCTCAAGCCAAGCAGGCAGCATTAGCCTCACAGCGCGTTCAGCGCTGAAATCCAAAATGGGCAATTTACCCAGCAGAGTCTATCTGCAAAATTGATCTCTGGGAGAGCTTTGTATTCTTGTCAGAGGCATTGAGTGCAACAGGCAGAGGCATCGGGTTCAACAGTATGCTTTTTGAGTGGACAAGTTGGGTGACCTGGCATCACCCATGAATTTTGAAAGAGATGGCTATGAAGACATTGAGACTAAAAGTCTGTAGCTGCTGGGCTGGGGGATGGGGCAGGGAGATCTGTACATCACACATTATGTGTAGCTTGTGAATATCAAGAGATTCTGGCTATATGCCGAAATACGTTTACTTTTTGCTCAAGCTCCATACAGCATCTTTTGCAAAAAAAAAAACAAAACAACCCAAACCAACCAAACACTAATTGTTTATAGGCTAATTATTCTAAGGGGTTTTGTTAGTTTTTCAAATACATCCTAGACTAAAGAAGTTTGTGCCTATGGCTTATAGTTGCCGTATTACTGAACTTGTTACGATACTGAACTGCATTTTAATCGTACAGATGGCTGAAGAGAAACCCACATTTCTGATCCGTCCTCACTGTGCTCAGTGTTTTTTGTCCACGAGAAATGTGGATCTTTTTACCACCTGGATGCCAGTCTGAGATCCTGTAGTGTACACTGTTTGTCACGTGCTGTAGAAAGCTCTCCCCGTTGCAGGACTTTTTCTTGGGAGAGTTAAATGTTTTGCTGCTTACTGTTGTTGAAGTATTAGTAGAAATTTGCGGAAATTCAAACAGCTTTGACTTTAAAAAGCTGCTGTTACGATGTTGTACATTTGCATGTATAGTCAAAATGTGATTATATTGTATTCTGTTTATACCTGTAAATTCCCTAAATTAAAATGGGAATTTGGCAAATGCAATCGACTTTTTCAGTAAAAGAGACTGTCGCACAATAAAATAAAAATATTGCCTCGTGCTGAGGTATTTTAATAGCATCAGCGGAAGACTGCAGAATGAGATGTGGGAATAAAATGCACTGCTTTCCAAAAGCCTTCTGGTTTTCTTATTGTTGCTACGCCGGGGTGCTCATTTTTGGTTCATTTATAGTTATTCTTGTGCCTTTATACTGTCCAAGTTTCCTCAGCATGTGACTGCACACTATAAATACTGTCATAGACAGAGGGACTGAGGACAGACAAAGAAACACAGGAATCTGAAATGACCAAGCCCTCTGTACAGCTTGAAGTATCTGTGGTTCTCAGCAGTGATTTCTGTGGCTACATATTTAAGATGATTTAGTGTCACTAGTGTAACTGCTCTAACTTTAGAATACATAAAAAGGAGATGTTCGTTATTAATAGCTATATTATAAAATAATTGCATTATTGAAGGACATAATACCGATTTTATTTTACAATGTTAAGTATTTGTATTACCAGCTGTGTCACATGGCAGCCCTAGGAGATGACTTAAGCGTTAATTTTTACCTGTTTGCGTTGGATGAAAGGTGTGTAATGTGCCCGTGGCTGAAAGTGGGTTCACTGGGGTCCATGATTATTACAGGATTCACCTTAGAGCTCCACACAAATGTGCCTGCAGGATGGTTTAGAGAAATAAACTGCCCTTGTTCCAGGATAATGAATGAACCTGGTGCACAGTGACTGCGTTGAGAATAATCATTAATTTCAGTGTCAACACATCATCGAGTAACACCTGCTCTAGCACTACTATATCGCACGCACATGCACACGCAGGCACACAGATAGACACACATGTAGCAGGAAAATGAAAGCCAGATTTTCTAAACCATATTATTTTCTTAAAAAAATTAAAGAGAGGCCAGAGTATTTGGAGGCAGGGACAGTTAAAATTTCTAAGGATAGAGATTTGGATACATCACTGACAAACTGATCCCGCATTTGCTATCACTTCCAGAAGGAAAATTAACAGCAACCTATGAGAAAACAGGTGAGAGTGAAAGAAATTTTACAGTTTATTAAGCAACACTCCACAGCCCCGTGTATGTCTGGGGATAGTTTATTGCCAGTGCTTAACAGCCTCCTGTAATTCGATTACGTCTGTTTGCTGCAGGCAAAGGCTTCAGTAGGCAGAAAGGTGCAAGCCCTTCAGCTCTGGGCTTTAAAATAACAGCTGAAGCTGAACATTTTGCTGCTTGTCATGGTTAAGGTTTAACATCACAGATTCCTGGCTCCTTCGCCTCTCTGCCTGTGTCCCATATAATTTCACATATTGTTTTGAGGTTTATTCCGTGTTTTTTAACCTGAAGCCTGTAAGTGCAGTGCAAGCAATCAACTCTGCCTCTTAATTAGCTGCTGTATTCATGCTTCAGTAGCTTGTTGGAGGTCATCAGGAAGCCTTTCACTTCAACATTGCTCCTGTCAGGAACTGGTGAGCGTGCACATGCCCCCTCCTTTCTCTTCCCTAGTTCCTGCTGTATTTCCCAAATCTTGTTTGCAGTGTCCAGCCCGAAAACCCCTGATGGTGGCAGAGGACTTTGCCACAGAGGCTTCTGCCACGTTATTATTCTTTTCTTTTTCTCTAGAAGGGCAGGGAGGTGATGGACTCGCAGCATCTTTTATGTCCAGATTGCTTCTTGCTACCTTTGTGCATGTTTCTGTACACCAGCTCCCTCCTTCCCAGCTCCCAGTATAGCTCAGCCGTGGCTGCACACCAGCTTCCTGCGGGGCTGGGCTTGGGCTGGGTACCAGCACCCTGCGGGGCTGGGCTCTGCGCAGGATAGACGCAGGAGTGAAGGCCCTCGCTGCCAGCCAGTCGGTGCTGAAATCTCCTGGACATGCACGCCCGTGTAGGTATTTGTTATACACGTAAAACCAGAAGGAGGTTTTTTTCAAAGCAAGAACATTTTGAATAATAGACCTATAAACCTGAAAAGAGGTTGCCATCATTATTGCTGATGAGCCAGGCTCTTTTTTATTATAGGTGGAGCCTAGGAAAGCCAGTCACACTTTAAGACTAGACATTGTGTTTCAATAGCAGAATGCCTGAAATGAAAGCCTGGGTAGAAAGCATGAAAACACTGCGCAGAGAGGTACATGGGATTCAGATTAGGACAGATGGGGAAAATGTGAGAGTTACAAATTAGGAATGATGGAGAAAATGTGAGGGTTTGCAGAAAAGCAAAATGTTTCAGTTCGTATCCCTCTCCCACACCCGTATCCCTGGGGAGCTGGAAGCCAGCCTGTCCACCAGATTTCAGCTTGGGACTGTTCTTACAAGGAAAGAAATAGTGCCAGCATCTGAAATCCAGAGCAAAACAGTGCAGCGAGTCTGCAGTGAGTACACTTGCATTTGGGACCCTGGAAGAGCAATACAGGAAGTGAGAGGCCGAGTCAATGACCTGGTTGGGGGATAGGTGGGTGAATCTGCTGTTTGTGGTCCTGTGATTTTTTTTCTTACTGAACATACATAAAAAATTCTGCTCTGGGCACGTTATTTTGTTGATAAGTTTGTCCTTTATCAAATCAAAGCACGGGCAGTTCTGTTCTCAAAATTACACCTTTTTTTTATTAGGTACTATTGATTTTGTTCCTGACAAAACCAGACAAATTTCAACAACTCTTGAACAGAATTCAGGCTTTCTCTGAAAAAAAGAGCGATAGCTGCTAAGATCACAGACTGTTTTTTACATGACATGGGAGGGGATCAAATGAGAGAGAATGAAGAGCTGGAACTGACCATGATAGTAAACCAGTCAGGTTTACTGGCTGCTGTAAATACTGAGTATCATCAATAAATAATACCAGCTACAGGCTGCTGTATGTACCACCATTAACTCCCTGTGTCTTGAATTGGCTTAATTCTCTTAAGCGAATTTTTGGTCTTCAGAGTATCTCTGCAAATCTGTCCTTACGGTCTGTCCAGTTTCAAACTACGTACACTTTGTTAAAAGGGAAAATAGGGATTTTGTCTTCTGATTACCACATCATGAGCCCACTCAGGCTCTGAAGGAGCGATAGGTTTCCTGTGTCAGTGTGCCTTCTTGGGTGAGTTCAGTGGCACAGAAAATGTGCAACAACACATTTTATGACAAGCATACAAAAATGAGCTAAATATGTCCTTATCACATTTTCCAAGGAAAAAAAAATGCATTTCCTGAAGCACAGTGGCTGACAGACCACTGGGTATGAATATTTGTTGAACACTAGAAGGCTGATGCATACAACATAACCGACAGTGCACAGTCACATGATTTTGGCCCCAGGAGTTACATTTCCTAAACCAAAAGAGACTGGGATGCATTTGCATGGCATCATGGAAGAAATTGCTTAACTCAGGAAAGTTGGGGTGCAGGTCTCTGTGAAGAGTCCCTCTCCAAAGGGGCATCACTGCAAAGCCAGCAGCACATTTCAAGGATCCCTGAGACAGGGTTGGACTTTCAAAATTGTTCAGCTGTTTTGGTGTTTTGTTTTATTTTGTTTTGTTTCGTTTTGTTTTGGTTTTTTTTTATAACACTTAAGCATGAGCAGAATGGGTTGTAATATGTGGTTGTGTCCTGGGGTCCCTTCTGGGTGCTGAACTCTTCTGAATCACTCGAATGTTGCAGTGGCTTGATCAAACCAGGGCTAATCATGCTGCATCCAGCTGTGCCTTCCAATACAACCAGTGCTGTTTCTGTCTCCATTTGAAGGATCTACTTAACTATGATTAAGTACACTTGTATACTCACAAAGGTCTTCTATAGAATCGGCTGCTCCAAGTATCCAATGCTACAGTTCAAGAGAGATAGTAAGCAGTAGCTAGCTACTGAAGAGTAGTCGTGATTTCATGTGTATGTATTACATGAAATTTGTTCCCTCTGGTTTATCATGTTTTCCTTTAAGACGTGGAAGATGAGAATGACGGCCAGAACTGGCTTTCTGACAGAGGATTTTGCAGGAAGGTTCTGGTTATTTGTTATCCAAGCTTTAGTCTTTCCCCAGTTTTATCTACTTCACTGTCTTTCCTCAAAACTTGCAAATTTTGGTCTTGACTGAGCTTTGGTGTAAATTTGGCACCATTCTTTTTTCTATTCTCCTGCATACTTCACCTCTGTCTGTCCACCAGTGGCTGGTCAAGTAGGGCACAACATGGTCCAGGGTCTGGCACGCACCTTGTGAATCCTCTTCAGGGAAATCAAAGCTGCAGCCAGCAAACAAAAGACATCAAATCCCTTGCTCTCTTACAAAGACAAGGACATGCTGTTCTGTGACTGAGGTTCATTACTGATTTATACTGATTCATACTCATCATGGACAAGCACAGTGAGTAGGCCTTCAGAGGCCAAGGAGGCTTCACTGCATCCCCCCATTTAAAGCATGGGTTGACACCAGAGATTTTTTCTCTGTGGACTCCTCTTGGTGCCCTGCATAT